GGTTGGAGGTTTCAGCGCCTCACCCTGTCATTAATGAAAGACTCGGCTGTAATTCCTGGAGACCCCAGGACAGGCACAGCCCCTTCCTCCCGCCAGCGCCCTGGGACCAGAACAAGGCGAGGGCCTCAGCTTGCCCCCTGCCGCCCAGAGCCTCTGTGCCCTGGGCGATATAGGCACCAGCTCTCCCCTCTTCCTGGTAGAGCCCTGGTGTCCAACCAGTAGCTACGGCTATTGTGAACTAGCCACATGCAACAGGCCAAATTGCCACATGTGGCTGGCACGTTGGACACCATGCTGCTAGCTAGAGCCTCTGTGCCCTGGGGGAGACAGGCAAAACTTCCCCTTACTTCTGCCAGAGCCTGTTTGCCCTGGGCGAGATGGCACAGCTTTCCTCCTCCTGCCAGAGCCTCTGTGCTCTGAGCAAGGAGATGGGCTGACCATAATGTTACCAATGCTGACTGAAGCTATTCCAGAAGATTTCCCCCCCTAGCATGACATGTCATTTTCTTAAAATATCCTATTAGAGTCTCCCAGATTGCTTTCAATAGTCACCTGAAGATCAATGCCAATTGCAGAAAACTCCATGCCAATCTTGGAAGACTGGTAACTTTACTTCTGTGCATTGAACTAGGAAATGGACATAACACCTCCCAGTCACTTGTGCCCAGGGTGAAGAGAGGCTTCAGCCTTCTCCTCTACCAGTGACTGTGTACCAAGAGGATACCTCAGCTGCCAGAGCACCTGTTCCATGAGCAAGGAGAGGGCATCTCCCTCTGCACTCCACTAGAGCTGGTATGTCCCTGGTGCCCACTTGCCAGAGTCTCCAAGCAAAGAGAGGGGCACAGCCTCTGCTCTGTGCCAGAACCATTGTGCTATAAGCAAGTAAAGGGACAAGCCCAGTGCCCCATGTCAGAGCCCCTGTGCCCTGAGGGAGGAGAGGGGCATATGCACACTCATCAGGGGTCTCTCCTCATGCCAGTCTGTATGGATATATTGTATTATAAAATATGGCTGCGTCTAGACTGGCAAGTTTTTCCGCAAAAAGAGCTGCTTTTGCAGAAAAACTTGCCAGCTGTCTACACTGGCCGCTTGAATTTCTGCAAAAACACTGATTATCTCATGTAAGATTGTCAGTGTTCTTGTGGAAATGCTATGCTGCTCGTGTTCGGGCAAAAGCCCTCTTGCGCAAATGCTTTTGTGCAAGAGGGCCAGTGTAGACAACATGGTATTGTTTTGCGCAAAAAAGCCCCTATCGCGAAAATGGCAATCGGGGCTTTCTTGCGCTAAAGCACGTCTAGATTGGCTTTTTGCGGAAAAGCGTCCCTGCCAATCTAAATGCTCTTTTCCGCAAATGCTTTTAACGGAAAACCTTTTCCATTAAAATCATTTGCAGAAAATCATGCCAGTCTAGACGTAGCCTATGAGTCTGATTGGGCCTTCTGTCAGTCTGTACAAGATCAAAACATCGGCAACAAGAATGTGTGGGTAGCTTTCAGCAAGAATGTTGTGCCTGGAATCCAATATCTAAATAAGAAAAAGGGCTGCTGATACTTATGTACCTTGTGATGGACACAAAATACAATTTTTTTCTACAGGACTTCTGACTCGGTGCATAGGATTGACCTACTCTAGATCTGGAGCAGGATTGTGTATTATTTATACCACTGGGGCAGGTGGGTCTAGGCCTGCCCATAACTAATGACATATCCCCTTAGTTAAGGGCCCCCCACTAGGTCCCTGAGCCACCCAGAGCCTCTGGTCTCTTGCCCCTCATGCCCACAGTATTTTTTGGTGGGGCACATGGCCCTTTGGTGCCCCCTCACGTGTCCCCAGTGAATGAGGGATCTAGAGGGAGAAACAAGACAACAGCACCCATGGCTTCTAAAAGGCATCCAAGGAGTAAGTCAATGTTATACAGAGGAACTCTAGCTGGAGATATAAGTAGGCAAGGGAATGGAATGCAGTGTATTCTCCTGTACAGCTTCTTCCTTCTGAAGTAATGAATGGCCATCTAATATCCCCAATATGCTTTGAAACCAGAGTGGAATATGGGCTCATGGGGTTCTTCATCTGCCTCAGGTGGCAGCAGGTCCATTTGCTGTTAGGGCAGGATACAAGAGTGAGAAAGGGTGGTATAAAATGCAAGCATGTACAGATGTTTTCTAGGCATGGTTTGGAGGTAGACCAGCTGGATATTGTGCAGCAATGTCCAGCAGTCTCTGGTGGGCTGGGCCTAATGCAGCAGATTGCAGGTGGAGAAAGGACTGTCTCACGATTAAGGCAGTTGAATGCTGCTTTCAACTGATTTCTATCCTTGCCGGTGCCAGAGAGCCATGGGTGATGCTGCACAAATCATTTAACCAAACTTTTCACAGGAAACCACTCGTTCCTTCTGTTCAGGGTTTCCAGTTTGGTATCCTCTGGACTGATCTGTAGAAGAGCAGTGCAGTATAACATCATTGTCCTGTTAATTAGAGAGGCCGATCATGTGGGTTATTCCAATTAAAAGGAAAAATTGATGATGGAGTCTGGTATTTTGCTTTTGGTCATCTTGTCTTCTTTGAACACAGAAAGAACGAAAAACAGGAGACAGCTTCTTTGGTCACAAAACAAACTCAGCTATCATTCTGATCCAAAATCTCTGTCTAGGCTTTTTCCTAGAGACATACACAGTCCTTCTAGCTCTGTCTCTTTGTTGCTCCTTCTTGTCTCCTGGTGCTTGCTTTAATTTGTGCTGTATTTCATGCACACTCCTTAGGATTGTCAATTCTCCAGGATGGTCCTGGAGTCTCCAGGAATTAAAGATTAACCATTAATTAAATATTGTCATGTGATGAAACCCCCACAAATACATCTAACCTTAACACATGCATGTGGCAATTAAAAACAGTTCCACCAATCTAAGACTGCCCTTGCCCCAACATGTGACCCCTCAGGCCACATGATTCAGCTTTTATTGAGCTTTTCTATGTGCCTATGTGGGGTGCTATGCTCCAGGTACTGATTACAATGGGGTCTTTATATTTAAGAGAAGGCAGAGCAGCCAAACCAGACCTATAAGAATACACAGTCTATAATATTACTAAATTATATTCTGAAAAATTAGGTCTTGAGTGTCTCAAATTGGATTTGTGAAGGCCTGAGATAGTTAAGCGATAAGCACAATCAAAAAGTTCATATGGAAGCTAATCATTCTGATTTCCAAATAGAGTTTAAATAATATATAGCAAATTAGGCCTGAAGCCACATACTTGGCAATAAGGATAGAACAAAATATTGAATAGCTCTTGATTAAGTGAGCACCATCTATCCTTTGCACTGAGTAAGAAAAAGAGGTAGAATATGATATGATAATGTAATTAAAGACTATTATAATGCATATTCATAAGGGGACTGAATTTAGGTTGTGCTGGAAACTTTAATTATTTCCTAGCTTTTTAGCGCTTGTCTCTGCAATCTAAATAATGTCTTTTTAATGTGTTTGTGTGTATGTGTGTAGGGGTGTACACAAGGGGGACCACAGACCCCACAGTAATTGGCAGGGGCCAGGCACAGAATGCCTCTGGCTCCATGTCTGTAGTAAGGAAAGCAAACTCCTGCCACTGTGGGAGGTGACAGCTCCTCCAGCCCTGGGGCTGGAGGTGGGGAGAGTGAGCTCCTTTGGCTTCAAGGCTGGGGTAGGGAAGTGAGTTTTCAGAGGTAGAGCATGAGCTGACAGCTCCTCTGGTCCCAGGGTTGCCTGAGGAGGGGCACACAGAACATGTGCCTCTCAAGCAGTGAAATGTAAATTCATGCACATATCTTTGTATGTGTGAGTGCACTTGTGTGTATACCAACAGATAATAATGACTTATGACATCGCAATTCAGTTGTAACACACATACACATTAAATATACTGTAGCCACATTTTGCCCTATTAGTATAAACTGGAAGACCAAAGATAAATGCTGAATAGAAAAGTCTTTGGGGAAAAATAAAAGCAAAAAAATGCATGATCATTTTTATTGGAAAGACTATTTCTTCTGTGTTCTCTAACTTTCACTGAAGTGAGCCATATAGAGCAGTGTTTCTCAACCTTTTTTATAAAGTACCCCTTTAAAAAAATAAGTACCCCCAGTACCTATGGTTTTCAGGCACACAATTTTTTTCTACTGTTGCAACACATTTGTTTAAACAACTTAATCGTGGCTGGGCAGGCGATTAAATTTTTGGGTGTAAAAAGTACAAAAATAATAAAACACTGTAAAACTTAAAACAAAAATTCAGTTTTCTCCAAATTTCAGTTGTGTTGACATACCCCCCCAGACTTCTCTCAAGTACCCCTAAGGTACTCATACCACTGGTTAAGAAGCACTGATAAGAGCACCCACATTCTACTCAAAGACTTGCCCAAATCTTGCCCAGTAGAAGGAAGCTTCAGGGCGTAGCCCAGTTAGTCTGTACACAGTGTACAGGATAAACTTAAACAACAAATGGTCTGGGAGAACTTTATAGGCTAACAAAACATGTAGATGGTATCATGAGATTTCATGGGCACAGCCTACTTCTTCAAAACTCTGGTCATCTGAAGGAGTGGGCTGTGCCCACAAAAGCTCATGATACCATCTGCATGTTTTGTTAGTCTTTAAAGTGCTACCAGACCATTTGTTGTTTTTTAAGTTTATCCAGTAAAAGGAGTAGGAATGTACTGGCAATTTATTACACAGCTGGAGAGAGGTCATGGTTTGTACAGCTGGACCTGGTAGTTTGTCTGGAGCCCAACCAGGATTGCACACAACTGGCAAAAAAACCGGAATTGATTGCAACCACTTTATTCTCCCAATAAAGAAAAGCAGTCAACGGGAACTACAACTCCCAGCATGCAATGCAAGCAGTAGACTAGGAGTCTCTGCTAATGTTCCACCTTATTTCCAGGAGGAGACACTACTGATCCCACCATGCAATGCTCCCAGTCGGGGCTGAGCGGCTCCTGTCTGGAGCATTGCATGCTGGGAATTGTAGTTGCGCTGCTCGTCGCGGGCCTCGAGGTTTCCGGAGTAGCCGCTCGGTGGGTTTGCATCGCACCTGAGCAGCGTAGGACTGCAAAGCAGGGTGCGGTTGCCAATCCCAGTCCCGCTGCGTGAGACCCCTCCTCCCCGCGCTTCCTCTGACAGGTGAGCGGTGCCGGGTGTGGGCAGAGGCGATGATCTTGTGCCATGCGGATCCAAAGAGCCCGGGAGCGCCGCGGTGAGTGGTCGGAAGCAGCCGCGTGGTTTTGAGCCTCCCTCCAGCTGTGCGCTGGCCAGGGGCTGTGTCTCTGGCCCCGGCTGGAAGCGGGTAACTGGCCGGTACTGACGCGTCTGCAGACGTTTCAGGAAGGCACCCAATTCCCCTGCCCCTCCTTTGAGGTGATTGCACCCACATGGGTACCCTGGTCCCAGGCAGTGCTGGCCTGAGATGTCCTTCTGCCTTGCAGGGGTCTCATGGGCACCCTGCCCCTCACGAGTGTTAGCCTGGCAGGAGAGAGGGCCATCATACTCTCATAGCAGTTTTCGAAGATGTATAGCAGCTAGATAGGGATGTGTTTCATAGGGACAAAAGGCACCTCCTTGACCTTCAGAGTATCCAGCTTTCATATTTTAAAAGCATGCTGCAAATCATGCAGGGCTTGGGACTTGCTAAGCCATCCAAATATAGAACTAATTACTGTTCCGCCATAGTACTTGTCATAGAGCCCTATACTATGCATAGATTCATATCTTTTAAAGCCAGACAGGATCTTTACATATTAGAAATGATATATGAATAATAGCCAGCATATTGAATTGCCCATGACAGTGAACTACAGGTTGAACCTCTCTAGTCCAGCACACTCTGATCCAGCAACATCCATGATCCAGTATGATTTTAGTTAGCCAGATATCCACTTATCACAGATGTGGCCAAGTTTCCCGCAGTTCTGTAAAATTTGTTTATAGCTACCAATCCTGGCTCTCAGTGTTCTGATCTGTTATTTACCTTTAATTTACCCCTAAATGTCTTCTAAAAGCCCAGCAAACAGCAGAAGTGTTGATAATGGTCTTACACAATATTGACCTCCCGTGTTTAGCAAATTTTCTGATTCTGTACCTTTCAGGTCCTGAGAGTGCCAGACTAGAGATGTTCAACTTGTAAGTGAAGTTAGCAAACAAAAGGAAAAACATTAGGTCATATTTTGTATGTTTGGCTATGATGCAACTCAATAAAAGTAAGGCAATTAGGTCATGTGTGAAATCCACCCTATTGTATGCCTCCAATATCAAAAGAGTAATGTGCTGCTAAAAATGGATTTCTTAATGTCCCTTATTTGTATGTAGTTATTGGAGGTCATATAAAGTTCATCCCTAAGGGTACATCTACACAGCAGTGTTATTTTGGAATAACTGGCCTTATTTTGAAATAACAAAATGCATGTCTACACAGCAAGTCATTATTTCGAAATAATGTCAAGCTGAAGGACTTCTTACTCCAACTCCTCTAACCCTCATTTCACAAGGAGTAAGGGAAGTTGAAGGAAGAGTGTTCTTCTTTTTACTTCCTGCTGTGTAGACAGTGCCAAAAGTCAAAGTAAGCTATTTTGACTTAAGCTATGCAATTGAAATAGCTGAAGTTGCGTAGCTCAATTCAATTTTTGCCCTGCTGTGTAGATATGCCTTAATTGAGAACTTTGTGGTTCTCATTGGTTTATGATCCAACCTTAAATACTAATAAATTAATCTATTCTGGGGTAATTTGAAGGGGTTTCTTGTCCTTTTAGTAAATCTTGTGTACAATACATAAAAAACTATATAATAAGCCTAAAACAAAGAGGAGTCCTGTGGCACCTTAGAGACTAACAGATTATTAGGGCATAAGCTTTTGTGGGCAAAACCCACTTCATCAGATAAATATATAATAAAGCCTGTTCTTTTAATAGGGTCTTGTATGATTGTTTTGACCAGTATATTTTAAAAATGTATGGCAAAATAAATAGAATTCTGTACTAATTACAAGGAATAGTTGGAATTAATGTGGTCTAATAGGATTTTTAAGAACTTTGGGATAAATCTTCTGTTTCAATTAAAGCCTATAGGAGAGAGAAAAATTATTGGAATATGTGCAGCTCCACTAGGCAGAGTCCCAGGACCTAATCCTCGGGTTGGAGAGATTTGTGGGCCTGTAGAGAAACTGTGGGAATGGATGCTCTGAGCATCTCCAGGGGAAATCCTGTGGGATTCAAAACATCTTTGCAGAGACTCTCTTCCATGGGACTAGTGACCTACTTCCTCCTCACTGTCTTGCATCATAGCTTGTTAGCACATGTGGCAGAGCCTATGCCCTATGCTGATCCTAGGAGGGGTCAGGAAGTGTGGGAGTTATTACTGAAACTGTAATTTTCTTATGGTCTGAACCGAAGGAAATCCTTAGTTTATAGGTGTGTATTACTAGTAACTAGGAATGTTAAATTGTGGTTAATCAGCTAATCTAGTAGTCGATAGAATTTCCATCTACTACTTGATTAGTCGATAAAAGGTGGGGGAAAGGAGGCAGCAGCCTGGCTCCTACTGCATTTAAACTGCAGAGCTGCAGCAGGGTTAGCTTCTGGGGATGGCATGAGCCACTGGGACTGGCTCTTACTACATTTAAAAGGTTTGTGCTGGGTCCTGCGCTGCACCTCTGCCAGGCGACTCTTATTCCATTTAAAAGACAGAGCCATAGTGCTGCTGTGCCTCTGCATCCCCTTCCCTCCCCAGACACTGTGGAGACAGTGTTGGAAGGAATTCTTTTAAGCCGGCACCCCCTAGCACCAGCTCCCCCTTTCTCCTTCCCTTCTTGCTGCCTGTGATATAAAGGCAGCAGGAGGGGAGGAAATGGGAGTAGTTGATATTCAACTACTCTTTCATGTCCCTCGCTCTGCCAACCCCCCCCCCTCACCTTGCACCGTGGAGATGGTGCTGGAAGGAATCAGCTTTTAAGCTGGCTCCCCTAGCACCAGCTCCTGCTTCCTCCTTCCTTGCTACTGCTGACACAGAGGCAAGGGGAGGGAAGCAAGTAGTTGATTTGACTTCCCAATAAGCATATGCATCCCTACTAGTAATATCCCTTACATCCGTACTAGTAACACAGGTAAGGAAATGTTTTAAAAATTATTTTTAATTTGCCAATGACCCTTTTTAAAAGTTTTTGTGTGATGCTTTCTTAATTGTGTTGTAGAAATAGGGTAGGAAAATATGTGCTCCAGAGTCGCTAAGGTCAGCAAGATAATGGTGTTGTCCTGATTTTGATCTGTGCTCTCATTCTCACGGAATGAAAGAAAAATAATCATTTTCTGTTTCTTCAGTTTGTTTACTTTAGGTAGTTGAACAGCTCTATAAACTCAGTCTTTTCTGCTGTGAAACCCTGTCTCTCCTGAAGAGTGAATTAGTTTCCTCCTTTTGATTGTCTGATTGCATATTTTTTTTCCTATACAGAGAAACGAGAGAATTTTTTTCTTTTTTTGAAAAATGGGGAAATGTGATTGTAAAATCACAGAAATTGGCTCGCGCCACCCTTGTGAGCTAACCCTGCTGAGGCTCTGCACTTTAAATGTAGTAAGAGCCTGTCAGGCTCTATTTAAAATGCAGAGCTGCAGTGGGAACACCCCCTTTATTGACTAATTAAGTGGTTGATGGAAATTACATCAACTACTCAGTTAGTTAATTAACTGATACATAACATCCCTGGTCTGCATTTTAGCTTATTTCAGTACCAGTAATAAAAGTCCTGTGTTAAGATATCATAACTAGTGTAAAAAGGCCTATACCACAAAGAAATGCGCAAGTGTGTTGCCTTCCTTCTAGAAGGAAGAATTCAACTACAGTAATTCCTCACTTAATACGTGCCTGCTTAACATGTTTTCGCGATATCACGATTTTTTTTTTTAGGGAACATTTTTCAAACAACACGACCCCACAATAACACGATTTCCCCTAGGGCCAGCTAGTGGCTGGCAGCTGCGCGAGGCTTCCCCTGCCTCTCTGCAAAGCGGCAGAGGATTGCCACTTGCAGCGCTTTTCCCTGGTGACCCCTCCGGCTGGACGCAAGGCATCCGGCCACAGGGGGTCACCGGGGAACTGCACGGCGAACGGCAAACCTCTGTCGCTTTGTAAGGAGGAAGAGGAAGCCCCGCGCAGCTGCCAGTGACTAGCCAACTGGGGAAACCCAGCTGCCGGCTGCAAGCCCCCTCCCCTGTCCTTCCTTCTCTTCTCCAGAGCCAAACACCTCCCTTCCCTGCTATAACCCAGTCCTCTTTCTCCCTCAACCTTATGTCCCGGTCCCAGCTGCTAACAAGTGCAGGCTGGAGCTGCGAGCGCACGAGCGCTTGAAACGCAACCCCCACCTTTTCCATTATTTTCAATGGGAAAATTGACCCCGCATAACACGTTTTCACTTAGCACGATCATTTTCTGAAACGTACCTACCTTGTTAAATGAGGAATTACTATATACTCTAGTTTATTTATATAAAGGGGTTGTCCATAAATGTATCACAAAACTCTTTATGATATACTGGCAGATCAGAATGGGTGTGTCCTAGAGATATAAGTATTTTTTAAAACTGGAGTAGAAAGGAAACTGGGATTATAAAAAGATACTTAATTGTTCTATAGCAGGGAAATTCCTATCCCTTCTAATTTTTTTTGTCCACTTTCCTTTTGTTCAGAATACATTATATTTAAATAGAACATAAATAATGACAGCTTAATTTTCTTTGTTTCCTTCTGTATGCACCAGAGTTAGTGATGTCAGCATGAATGTGAGGAACAGTGGGAAAAGCATATGATGGCTTTTGGAGTGTTGTTTGGGTTCATTTCTTTAACATATTTTAGTTAAAGATGAACTATGCAAATGAAAATTGCTGCTGTTCCCACTCACCTCTGGAATAAGTTCAGTACCATGTATGAATTGTTTGACGTAAAGCAGGAGTTTTCTTCCTTTTGTAGGACTGCTACATATTGCTGGCTAGGGTTTGGTGTAATGCCCAGTATGTGAAGTCACACCTGCATCTGAAGAGCACTGAAGTCTTTTGATGGGAACAAGGTAAGTCCTGTTCTTGGTATCCTATATGATTTCTCCAGAAGTATACAAGTTGGAGTTTTCCAGTGAGGAAAAAGTGGGTGCCATAGATGTCAGGTAGCCTAGGCAGGGGAAGGCTTTTGCCTTCCCAAACTGCCAGACGTGGCCCCGCCCACACTCTGTCCCCAGAATGCCTACTGTAGGCTGACTGGTGGCAGATTGTCGCTGCCTCCAGCTCCTGCCCTTTGGGTGCTCTTGGGCAGTGAGGCTGAAGCCACACGGCCTCCTCCCTCCCCAATGCTCCGGGTCGGGGAGGCCAGAGACATACTGCATGCTCTCCTCCTGCCCTTGGTGCTCTGGGAGCTGGAGAGGCGGGAGTCGCACCATGCACCCTCCTCCCATCCCCATGGAGGGGCGTGCACATGCTTGGGGTGCTGCCCTACCTTTTCTCCTCCCTGTGGGGGGGGGGGGCGAAGCAGCAGCAGAGGTGGTGGAACTGGGGGCCTGCCTCCCCCAGCCCACCCTGCATCAACCGCACATGATAGGTAGTCTGTGACTAATCTTCATTCCAGGGCTGCTAGGTGGCATGCTTCTGCAAAGATATGGAATTATTAGAGCTGTGGAATTATTAGCCTGTGGAATTATTAGAGCTTTTAAGGGCTAGCAACCATAGAAGCTATTCTGGACTGGTTATAGCTCTTAAGCAGCTAATTGGCTTGGTCACAGTGCTCCCAGCTATTGTATGTGTTTTCATGTTTCTGTAGTTTTGCTTTTAACATTTAAAGAGAAATAAAGTTTGAATTGTTCTTATCTTTAAATCTGGAAATATGTCTAGTGTATTTTTGTTTATGTCCAGTATGGGGGAAGCGTTCACAGGAAGAAATTGGGCATTAGTGTAAGTCTAGTGTATTCTGAAGAAAAATTAACACAAAAGTTTAAAAGGAAGTAGTTTTAATTTGTAGTTCCTATTTACTAACTTGCCTCTCTTAAATCAATACCATTACAGATACATTAGAAGTCAATTATACCTCTTCCCACAGTATCTATAAAAATGCAAGAAACAAAATTGCGTGTTTCATCTTCTTGCTAATAGCAGCTTTGTTTATTATGAAAAGTGAAAGAGGAAAACATTTTTTGGACATCTTAAAAGTAGCTTTTGGAAGTGACAAAAATGCTGTGTTTGAGACATATTTACTCATTTGCACTGAGACGCTGCCAGTTTCGAACTTTGAGTAGTGACACATTGCTCAGCCAGTTAAATAGCTGCACAACTGAAGATCAGGTCTTTGACCTTGTTGGAAAGAACAAAGCCAAACTATCTGAAAAGCACGTTGGAAGTGCAATTAGTCTACTCTGGAAATTTCAAAAGGAGAAGTCCTATCTATTGAGGAATATTGACTATGTAAAAAATCATTGCCAGTTTCTTACTCTTCGCATTTTAGCTGAAAACAAAATAGAATTTATGGATAATGATCTCTTGGTGGATACGCTGTATAATGTAATGAGGTAAGCAATATAATATTAACTTCTCTATAACCAATTTTAAATGAGCTTGTGAGTTGAATTTTAATGTAGTCTTAAACATTTTATTATTTAATTGAATAATATTAGCTTAGAAATTAACTTCTTTTTACAGCTTTTCTTCTCATTTCTTGCCCCTTACCTATTCAGGGTCAGTGACTTTTACAGCCTTCTTCCAAAACTCATCACTGTACTCCTGGCTATCATGCAAATTTGTGTCTAAGGTCCACTAATATTCAGTCCATGTGCCAAAGACTTGGCATCCCCTTTGATTATCTTCTGTCCACAATCATTGCAAGGACCACACTACCAATATAACTCTTGGGTCTTGTCACGGGGCTGAATCACCACCATGGTGCCTCCCTCTAGCTGGTGTCTCCCCATGTTTCTCTTTGACATTGGTGGCCTCCTCAGGACACTGCCCTCTGGTAATGGCCACACCAGTGTCTGAGCCCTCCTTCCGGAGGTTGGTGTTTATCTTGCTTGCACTCCAGAGTCTTCCCTTCCCCAGGGCACCCTGTTCTCTTCCCAAGGAAAACCCAGTTCCCCCGTACCCACCTTGCCTCAGTGACCCACTGTCAGTCGTCACTTAGTCCCTGCCTCAGGGGCAAACTGCAGTCTGTAATGGCCACTCATCACTGACAAAGGGGTGTGGACCTGCTGCTCCTGCCTACCATGGCTGCCTCGCTACAGCCCTAGTAGCCTCGGGCCTTGCTTCAGGCCCTGCAGCCTGGGAGCTTGCTTGGCTAGAGCTTCCCCAGCTCTGCCTTCCTTCACCAGCACTGCTCTACCTCCAGGAAGCTTCCTGCTTCCCGGGAAGTCAGGTCCCTACAGCTCTCTGTCCAGAGCAGCAGTCAGTCCTCTCTTGCCCCCCAGGAGTCCTTCTTTTTATAGCCCCCAGCTAGGCCCTCATTAGCCAGAACTGTGTCAGCTGGGGCTTTGCTCTCAGCCCTTGCTCAGGGCTGGGGTTTTGCCCTTAAAGGGCCAGTGCAGGACAAATGCCCTGTCACAGGTCTCCATTGGACAATGTACTCTAGCCTACCTCAACTTGAGGAAAAACAGTTTTGCTGTCTTCTATCATTTCACTAATCATATATATTACTAGTACAAATTCTCAGTCACAAATGTGATATTTTCCCTCCCCTGAATCGATGGTCTCTTCAACTTTGCTTTTAAATTTGTAACCTTAATGGAGCTCATTGCTAATTTGATTTTTTTTTCCAGGGGACAACATGTATATGTTTTAAAAATTAAAAAAACAAAAATATTTTGCATTATTTTGAAATATATTAGGCTGAACATTCATTATTTAATTTCTTCTGTATAAATATATCCTTCTAGCCTTGTGATTAAAACACAAGCTGTAAGTAAAGACATCTGTTTTTTATTGAGTCCTATCTTTGCCATACTGACTGTGTGACTTTGCACATGTCACTTAATCTCTCTGTGCCTCAGTTTCCCACATGGACAATGGGAATACTTGTCTGCATCACGGAGGTGTTGTGATGTTTAATCTCCATGAACATTTGTAATGTTCTGTTAGACCAAGGTGGGCAAGACAGCCTCTGCGGGCTGGATCCAACTTGGCAAGCCGGTCCCCTGCTGGTCCCCTGCCTCCAGGCAAATTGAGACCTGGTGACAGGGGAGCGCATGAAGTCTTCTCTCCCTGCTAGGGGTGTGTGTCACCAGAAGGAACTGCCAGCTGTTCAGAACAGCTGGTGGTTCCCTCTAGGCCAGTGTTTCTTGGTGTTCCTCATAAAAAAAATTGTTTGGTGTTCCTCAGTCTTAAAAAGTTTAAGAAACACTGCTCTAGGCATTGTGTGCCCCGATAGGGCGGGAGCAGGGGGCGAGAGACTTCAAAACAACTAGCAGTTCTCTCTAGCTGCTGGGGATGGGGAGACGGGGGGAGGGGGGGGAGCAAAGACTTCATGCACTCCCCCACCCCCAGGCCAATCAGGGTCCATGGGCGGGAGAGCATGGGGAAGTCTCCTGGCCTCACCCCTTTCTCCCAAGGCCCCTCCCCTTCTGGGGCAGCCCGGGACCACTTCAGAAATTTGTGAAGGGGCCCCACTTCAAAAATTGTTGCCCACTCCTGTGTTAGACCTTTAGATGGGAGGATCCAGAGAAATACAAATTATTACTGATATAATTTTCTTACTAGAATCTTTGTAGCTCTTTTAAAGCAAATGTTAAAAGAGTTATGCAATTATACCTGGTTTGTCTTATCTTTAATCATTATGAAGGTTCACTGTAGAGGCCCACGATTCTTTAGTACAAGAGCTGGTTATGGAAGCATGGAGAAGATTAGAAAGGCAAGTATTCTACAGTTCTTCCTCCAGAAAGATGTTCATTACATGCATATTCAGCTTGGAGTAATATCTATAACATTTCTCTCATAGGTACTTGCTGGAGATCATCTAAATTATCTAAATATTTATCTAAATATTTGTATATCATTATTTTAAATCTCAGGGTTATGCTTGTTGTCCTGCTTTTCAGTGGTGAATATGACCT